TCTTGCGCCCTATAGTGCGCGTCCGCGAGGCAATCCATCCAGCGCCAGAGATTGCAGCATGCATCATAGCAAACAGCATCAGTAGTCAGTCTGACCCAATGTTTCGACCTGCGTTTTTTTTTTTTTTTTTTTTTTTTCTTCCCAGCGCTCTTAGCATTCGCATGCGCCCCCTGCACTTGCGCCGTTGCGATGGGAAAGAGAGGTCGCCCAGCAAGCCCGCCACCTGCAACATTCAGATGGGAGACGAGTGCTAGTTCTAATCCTTCTGGGCGGAAGAAACAATGCGTCAGTGAAGAAGCCAGTGAAGACTTGGAGAGGCACCTTTTGCATCTCTATGCATCAGCTCGCATGGGCGCGAAATCTCCCCGCATCGTATCAGACAAAAGCATTGAAGCTGGCGGCGAAGGATCGAACATAGAAAAATGTGCCCTCGCAGAGGGGAAAAGCACTGGCAGCTACAAAAAACATTTAGACAGCGCTTCCAAAGACAGCAGCAATGCCAGAGTTCGGGGCGGCGGGGGCACCGGCATATCTTAGAAGAGAGCGCATAACAAAACAAGTGCCTGTTGTTTCTGTACACGAAGTGTTGGAAGCAGAATTCGTCAAAGGGACTTTGACGGAAGCAGAACCAACAATTGTGGGATCATTGTCTGAGTGGGCTGCAGCGTTCAGGGACCACCCTAAAAACATTGTGCCAGGGGGTGAGCGCCCGATCATCCCACTGGCGTTCTACTTGGACGGAGTCCGCTTGACTAGGACACTAGGTGCAGGCCGCGTCGATACAACCCTCGGGTTTTGGTGTCATTCGCTCACGTCGCATAGGAGACATCTACTTGCAGTCTTGTCAAAAAGAGAAGGCTGCAAATGTGGGTGCCGTGGCCGTTGCAGCAGATGGCCGACGTTCAAATATTTGGCTTGGTCTTTTGCTTGCGCTGCAGATGGGCTCCGCCCTGCAATGACTTGGGATGGGAAGCCCTGGCCAGCAGAGTCAGTGTACGGTCGCCTTCGCGCGGAGAGCCATCGCTTGTCAGCGAGGTTCATCCTGGTCCAGATCAAGGGTGATTGGTCAGAGTACAGCTCAAGTTTGGGATTTCCATCGTGGGCCAGCATTTCTCACCCCATGTTGCTTTTGCAATAGTTCAAAACATGATTTGCACAATTACGACAATGTCACTTTGAGCGGGCATTCTTGTGGAAAAAAAGAAACAACTGGCATGAGGCCGCATGCCGCATGTGCGAAGTTAATATTGTGCTATACGAGTCCGATGTTAGAAATGAGTTGTTCGAAATTGGTGGCCTTCACTGTGATCCCAAGAAAGAGGCGCTTGGTCGAGTACTCCAGTACGACGTACCTAACCTCGGATTGAAGAAGGGGGACAGGCTCGAGCCATCGGAAAGCTTGCCTGATACGTTTGCCCTGGAGGAAGCTGTCTTGCCTATCACGGTCATCTTCTGGCGGCGGCACTACGACGACCATCGTAGGTACATTGATG